CAACCTGGCCTTGGACACTGCCAGGGATGGGGCAGCCACAGCTTCTCTGGGCACCCTGGGCCAGCGCCTCAGCACCCTCACAGGGAAGAGCTTCTGCCTCAGAGCCCATCACAGTCTCCTCTCTGGCAGGTTAAAGCCATTCCCCTTGGCCTGTCCCTACAGGCCCTTGTCAAAAGCCCCTCTCCAGGATTCCTGGAGCCCCTTTAGGCACTGGAGCTGCTCTAAGGTCTCCCCAGAGCACAGCAGAGAGGCAGGATCCCCTCCCTGAGCTGCTGCTCACGCTCTGGGGGTGTAGCCCAGCACACAGGGGGGTTCTGGGCTCAAGCACACACTGAAGCTGGGTCCTGGGGAGCTTCTCCTCACCCAGCACCCCCAAGTCCTTCTCCTCAGAGCTGTTCTCACTCCAGTTACCACCCATGTGGGACACAGTACACAGTAATAGTTGACCCAAGTCAATGCTACCTCCATAACTTGAAGTATTTTTAAATATTTCTTAAATGTCAGACTTGACTTAAAAAAAAAATCTTTTAATTCAGGAGAAGTTCTCAGTGCTGGTGTCACTGATGGTGATTGTACCTCATGACTGCTCCACCCAAAGCTCTCAGTAAGGTCTGTTGTAGATGCAGCCTGCTGGTCCAAGAGCAAAAGCTGAGCAAATAACCGTTGAAGTTGTAATGGAATTATTCGAACCTAGAAATAAAACCCAAAATATAGCCAAGAGATGAGAAAGAGTCTTCAAACCCTTCATTTCAATAAAGAGAAAAAGCATTCCATACAAGACATGTAATAAACCACCACTGTCTATTGCTTTTATAACACAGGTTACTCAATTCAGAACAAAACATCAGACCTTGTTCCCAAGAAGCCAGTGCTTCACCTTACTCAGCCAAATAGAGTCATGGAACACGGGTTTTGCAGAACTGTAAGGATTAAATTAAGCCATCAGCATAGCAAAAAAAGGACAACTTGCTGTGCTATCTGTAATAACAGAAACCCTAAGAACTCAGCTGCAAGACATGACGACATAGATTTAACATATGCTACTCCTTGGTCAGTGAGGGGCTTGGTGGGACACACACACCACACGAGACAGGAAGGAGAACAGTTCATGTCACAAGCTAATGTCACAGTGATCAGCTCCCTATAGTTATCTTGGACGTGCAGAGAAATACATTTTTCAAGCAACCAGTTGCATCAGTTTAACCTGAGGATTAAAGAATGGAATTCTGTAATCAAACTTTAGGGAGCACTTTTGAAACAGGAATTAAATTCCAGTCCTGTACCACCTTATGCATGGCTAAGAGCTGGGCTACACACATTTATTTAGGTTTTTATTTAAGCTGGTGACAAGTATCTCCTATGGAGCCAGGCTGAGAGAGCTGGGCTGGGCCAGCTGGAGAAGAGAAGGCTCCTGAAGGGGACACCTTAGAGCAGCTCCAGTGCCTAAAGGGGCTCCAGGAAACCTGGAGAGGGGCTTTGGACAAGGGCCTGTAGGGACAGGACAAGGGCAATGGCTTGAACCTGCCAGAGGGGAGATTGAGATGAGCTCTTGGGCAGAAGCTCTTCCCTGTGAGGGTGCTGAGGCGCTGGCACAGGGTGCCCAGAGAAGCTGTGGCTGCCCCATCCCTGGCAGTGTTCAAGGCCAGGCTGGACACAGGGGCTTGGAGCAACCTGCTCTGGTGGAAGGTGTCCCTGCCCGCGGCACGGGTTGGGACTGGAGGAGCTTTAAGCTCCCTTCAACACAAACCTGGCTGGGATTCTATGCATCAACATTTAGAAGTGGCTAATGACAAGAAGAAGTTAAATACCTTTGCATCTGGTTTACTGCTATCATCCAGAGTCCCAAGTTCTTCAGGTCCTAGAGAGAACAGTGCTTCTGCAATTGGAAAGAAAAATGCCTATTTAAAACAAAGACAACGTCTCCTCTTTAAAGATTTATTGTGTTTGAACTGTCAAGCACTTTTGGCAACTGAAAACATCAAACAACATTTCTGGACATCATCCAACTTTGCAACTGATTCAAGCTACAACCATCAAGTAGAAGTAAGCGTGAAGGTGTTTAATGGCAATGTATTTTCTCAGGAATCAGTGGTTGCATTAACAAAAAGGAACACCACTTTAGAGAGAGCAACAACCTTTCTTAGTTACACGTGTTGTAACTGTCCACCTGTAGGGAGAGGTACAAATACTTACATTGTGTGCAGAAGTGACAATACCATTTTTACAGCTCTGAGTAGGCTGTAATCACTTATTTGAAGTGAACTGAAGTAAACTGTTCCTGATCTGTGTTTGCAGTGTTTCTTTAATTAAAAAACAAATGCAAGCCACTGTAAAATATTAATTCCAAACATAGTTTAAGACAATTTTGGACACATTACCTCGGAATTCAGGCGTGAAAAGCAGGGTCTGCAGAAGGGAATTGAGGTAGCAGGTCCCACCCTGGTTTTTGATACCACTTAGGTTGGTGAAATCCCTGGGAGCTGGAGGTTCGAAATCTCTGGGCTTTGATTTCTTCCCTTTTCCACAATGATTGTTGGAAATAAAGGAAAAATCCTCCTCAAACAAGTCCCCAAACATTGTGAAGGCAAAAAGAGTCCTTTAAAAATAGGAAATGATGTGTTTACTATACAAAATGCAATTGAATGCACCCACCTCTAATC